TGATTACGGGGTTTCTCAAATGTGGCAGGTATTTAAGCGTTATGGAAGAGTCTCAGATATGTATATTCCATAAAAGCCTTGATGCTATCTTCTTGGAGGACATGAAGATCCAAGTCAATTTGTCCATATATTATAGGGATAAGGTGGCAACAGACACAAAGTGGAAGAAGCCAGAAAGAGAACTTGGTCAAGGAGCTGTGGCAAACAATCATAACAAGGTGGTGATGAATGTTCTAATCCAACCGACTACAAAACATGGTCGGAGTTTCGAGGAGGTGGTTCAAACTAAACCTAGCCACAAGGTTGTATATGAACCGCCAAAGTCAACAATGGAGAGGCTACAAAAGGTATATGTGAGAAAGGTTAAACGTAGGATGAAATTTGCTATGCTTGAGGCTTCTTTCAATAGGCTAGTTATTACGGTGTAAATTTGGTCCTGATGGGACCAAATTTGGTTTTACTGGAGGGATTGGAGGAAGAGGATGTAGAAGAAATTGTGGAAAGGGAAGAGGATTGGTTTTACAAAATTTTTGATGAAGTAGTACCGTGGGAACTAGACCTAGTGGATACTGAGAGATTTGTGTGGGTGAAATGTTTTGGTATACCCATTCATGCATCGGACTTAAATTTCTTCCGGCGTTTAACAGTACATTTGGGATTGGTGGTCAAGCTTGACAGGACGACAGAAAAGCGCAAGAGATTGGATGTAGCGAAATTGCTCTTATGTACAAAACATCGTGATTTCATAAACCAATCGTTAGAGGCAGAAATTGGTAAAAAGGAGTACACTATTAGATTGGTGGAGGAAGTTCATGGTGATTATATGTACAATTATTTTGAAGGTTCAACTCAGGAAGTCATTACATCAGAGTCTGAGGGTGAAGATGAATTTTTCGGTAACGCCGATGATGACGTGGCACAAGATTTGATTGGAGAAGGAAACTCGCATAATGGTAATCAACATTCAATGTAATCAAGTGATATAATGGAGGAAATTCGAATTGGTAAAACAGCACAATTGAAGGAGAATGAAAAGAAAAAAAATAAGGTGATAGCTAATGAATTAAATTCCAAGGATTTGGTGTTATCACGTAAGGGAAATATGCCATTAGGTGTTGTGGGGGAGAGTTTTGGGCCAACAGTGGTACAGATGGGAGCCTAGAATATAAACATGGTCACATGTGAGGAGGAGAATTTTTAACCAAAATAATATATAAAAAAAATAAAAATACTGAAATAGACCTGTCTCAAAAATATTTACCAAAGTAGACCGAATTACTGTTTACGTAAAGAATTCGACTCCCCGAAAGCTGAATTCTGACTTCTGAGAGCGGTTCTGATTGAACTGCTCTCCAAAAACGACTTCTGAGAGCGGTTATATACGAACCGCTCTTAGAAATCGACTTTGGAGAGTGGTTCGAATATAACCGCTCTCAGAAGTCGACTTTGGAGAGCGGTTCGGATATAACCGCTCTTAGAAGTCGTTTTTGGAGAGCGATTTTTATTTAACCGCTCTCAGAAGTCGCCTCTTTCGCCACATATTTAAAGACCAGAATTCGGCTTTCGGGGAGTCGAATTCTGTACGTAAACTTATATGATAATATTATTTTGAATAATTTTTTTTTATTTATCTCAATCACCCATTTTAATATTTATTTACCTAACTAATAATATTTATCTAAACATGTTTTTATTTATTTTAATAATATTTATTTAATTAATATATATATTAATATAAAATTTATTAATAAATTAAATAATAAAATTATATTTAATGAAAATAAAATATTAAATTTTTTAAAAATTAATAAATTAGCTTGTAAAATGATATTAATAAAAATAAAATAATTTGATTTATGATAATATCTTTGTTTTTTAATTTATTGTATGCAAAATTAATTAAATGAAATCATTAAGATTATTTTTGTTAGATAATATGAAATGAATTTATAGATAAAAAATTAAATAAAAGAAGATAAACAACAACTAAATGAAACTTTCATAATTAAAATAAAATGAAACAGACATGGAAATAGAAAATAAAATACAAAATACACATTTAATTGGTTAAAAATTAAAAAAGATCTTCTATTGCATATTTTTTCTCTCCATGATGGTCAATATACTTACTTTCATGCTAATCACGAAGTCTTTCTTCAAGTGTTGGGGGTCGTAGGTCTTTTGTTTCTACAAACAATTCAATCTTTGACCAGTTATGTGTACGTTGAATGCTTGAATGAAGTTCAAATATTTTTTTCCATCGTGCGATCATCTGTTGCACATCAGAATCAGTTTTTATTTCTATGCAATCATAGACGAGTTTTTGGTTGATGACCCGGATCGGTCGTCTATAATTGATTATTGTAATTTGTTTCCTGTCTCCATAATCCAGTACCTCACTTACCTCTTGAAACAATTGATTGAAAGTCCAGCTGTGTTGGATGATCATTCTTATTGGGTGAAGACATTTAAACATAAGGCCATAACCATGTGGACAGTTCATGATGGTGGCATGCTGGATAGGTCCCCCAAAATATATTATAGCTTTGCTAGAAGTGATGAATTGAGGGTTGGATGAAGAGGTTGGGGTTGGAGGGTTTAGAAGCGTCATAATTTGTTCTGTTGATCTTTGATAGATGACATAAATTTCAATGATCAAAGAGACTGGAAAATTGGATTTCCAGGAAAGCATCTGCGCCACATGAATATCAGTTAAAATAGAAAAAGCTTCAAATATAACTAAACCCTCACCACTGTGATTTGGTTTCCGATAGTACAAGTTAGTGAACTGAGTGTTATGATCAATGCCTAAAGCATTACAAATTCTTTGTTTCAGCTCCATGAATGTGCACTCATGTGGGATCGTAAATAATTTTGGAGATGAACACTGAAAGCTCACACCTTCGTGATTATGGGTAATCTGGCCATTTGCAAACGTAACAGCTAGATGAGAATTTGTGAAATTGTCAATGTTTGTTATACCGAAGTCCTCCATCTATAGTTTTGGATGTTAATGTTATATTTTGTAATGAATGTGTGGTGTTTGTTAACTACATGATATGTCTTTTATAGACAATTTGTAAAGTAGGTGCTTGAAAAAAAAAGGATGGTCAGGATCATTTATAATGTGTTCAATGGTTGAGATTAACTTTGGTAACGTAAAGTCAATGACAATTTGACACACTGACGCGGTGTCATTGATTCCTGACGTAAAGTTAATGACACTCTGACGCACTGACATAAAGCAATTGATTCCTAACACCCTGACGTAAAGTTAATGACAATTTGACGCACTGACGCGGTGTCATAGATTCCTGATGTAAAGTTAATGACACTTTAACGCATGGTCCATCATAATAAACAGTATCCCGAACAGTATCCCGAATGAAGAACATGAACACGAATATGACTATTTATAATGGCACATTGGATTCCTCGTCATTCAATGCCATATCATATCTTACGAGTGATTTTGACCTCTCCATGACACAATTCTCTCCTCCTAACCAATAGATAGTGATTAGTCAGTCACGCTCAACATTAGATTCTCTTCTCATTCAAGCCATCTCACATACTTCCAAACGAGCTTTGTCTCATCCCAACCAATAAAGATGCCTTCTGACATTCACGTAAATTAAATTAGTTTTTTTTAAAAATGACATTTTTAATATTATAATTTTTAATACTTTAATTTTGTTTGAAAATGACATTATTTAATATTATAATTTTTAATATCCTAAACTCTAAAACTTTATGATTATAATTTTAAATAAATTTTATTTGAGAAAAAAAAATTATTTTTAAAAAGTAAATAAAATATTAAATTATAAGTTAATTATTTATACTTGAGACAAATATTTTAATATTAACGGTTTCATATTATTAAGGTAACATTGATGAAGACAAAGTGCATTAACAAAGATGATAACAAATTCATAACAACATTAATAATTAACTATCTCCGTAATGGTGGCCAGTTCCACAACGAGGGCGACGTCTGTGACGTGGTGGGTTTCGTCGTTGTGGTTGTTGCTCTGGAATTTCAGGATGAACTTGTGGAGGATTTGGATCATCATAAAGGTGTACTTGTTGGAATGCATTTGATGAATTACCAGGTTCATTAGCAAAATCCGGTTGGTAAAGAGACTGCATGTAAGTTTGTGCTGAAGAAGGAGTTGTAAAATCAACTCCAAATAAGTTTGTAAAAAAATCCTCCGATGTTGTTGCAGACGAATGTCTTGTATTAATAATGTTTGCTTCTGGCGTAATGTTCGGAGAAATTGATGCAGTCTCGTGGTACGACGGTGTGAAAGTCGTACCGATTTCAAATGTGTTGGTAGTCCTTAATTGTTGGTCACTCTTCCTTGGATCTTGTAGTAGTGGTGGCACAGATAGAAAATAGATGGAATTGGCAATGTACCATTCCATGTATTCTTGTGTGTGACACAATGGGCCTTGCATTGGATGACCCGTTATTGTCAGCTCACGTCTGTTGTTCCATATCTCGATCCATTGAGCATGTCTTGTAACCCAATTTTCATCCTGTCTTCCTCTCATGTCAATTTTGTGGAGGTCATTCAAATTATTCGGTGGAGAAGGGACTTCTTGGAAGAGACGAAACTGTAATTTGACTCTATCTGTTTGGTGCCATTCAACAATTGCAAAACAAAGGATGGCAGTACATGAAGTCCACAATTGGAATCTCTATATGCTTCCATGGGTATTGATGTTTGCAAGTCTTGATATGGCGCCCATAAAAACTACAAATAAAATTAACTTTGTTACTTAAGATGATGTATAAAAGATAAGAAAATAAATATGAAGAGTTACCTGATTAGCTTGAATGTGATCAAACATTGACCTGTACCCCACAACATCATTGTGAGGTTTATTTCGAAAGTTGAGTACTCTACCCCCACTCCATCTGCACACGAGAGGGTATGTTGGTAAATTACTAGAAATTGGCGCAATATATGGCATGCGATACCATGCCCAGGACATTAAGAGTGATGAGCAACCACCCATTGTTTTGCTACCAACTTCCGTGGCTCTACACATTTCCCTGTACAACATAGCTAAGCATGCAGAACCCCAACTATATCGTCTTGTTCTTCTAAGATTAGTTAATAAAGCTAAATACATAAGATGTACTTTGTTGCCTGTTTTGTCAGGCATCAAAACACCTCCAATTAAACCTAGTATGTAAGCCCTACAATGAGTGTGAACTTCTTCTTCAGATGATTCTTCTTGTAATGGCAACATGTTGTCTCTCAGCCACTTCAGTTTTACCATAGAGCCAATTAGTGACTCTCCCTTGACTGGTACGATACCGAGATATTTGTCACACATTTCCTCCCAGTCAAACATTGTTGGAGCAATGACTGGTAAACCATCAACTCTTAGCCCGAGTTGTAGTGCAACATCTTCCAGGGTTATGGTGCACTCCCCTGTTGGAAAATGAAATGTGTGAGTTTCAGGTCTCCACCTCTCGACCAAAGCTGTTATCAATGCGTGATCCACCTTAAGATGCCTTAATTTTGCAACCCCAGCAAAACCAAGTTGTTCAAGTATGGGTACAATTAGAGGACTGGGTTCTGGCATTGAATGACAGAAAGATGAAATCATGTTTTCAGTTTCCTGCAGTTATTCATAAATTAGTAACATTATATGTAGAATATTGATTTACATAATGGTAATGTATACAACTTACCGTTCTTCCAATAAAGGCGGACCTGTGTTCGTTTTGCTTCCAGAGCAACATTTTTAGTAATGAGATCAAAGATAAAGAGAAACGAAGAACAAAGATGGACGCAAGTTTGAATTAAAACATGTGCCCTTGGATGAACATATTTATAGACAAACTTCGGTATGAGAGAGTAGCCTTAGAATCTTGAGAAGTCACTATCTCTTGGTCTGCGTGACTGAGAAGTCACTATCTCTTGGTCTGCGTGACTCATAAGTCACTATCTATTGGTCTGCGTGACCTGAGAAGTCACTATCTCTTGGTCTGCGTGACTCAGAAGTCACTATCTATTGGTCTGCGTGACCTGAGAAGTCACTATCTCTTGGCCTGCGTGACTCAGAAGTCACTATCTATTGGTCTGCGTGACCTGAGAAGTCACTATCTCTTGGTCTGCATGACCTGATAAGTCACTCTCACTCGTAAAACGTGGTGAAACATTGAATGACTGAGAATCCAATGTTACCATTATAAATAGACATATTCATGATCATTTTATTCATTCAACCTTCTCAGCTTGTTCCTTGTTCTTGTGAACCTTCTCCTTCTAAAAATGTCTTCAATCTATGTCATTGTTCACTCTGATAGTGCCATTAACCAATGTTCTTATGAAGGAGTCACGTTCACCTCATCATCAGCTAAATTGGTACATCTAAAGAAAGGAGTGACTCTACAAAGGCTCAAGAAAATCATCCACACAAAACTCAACCGAGACGAAAATGAAAGGGTGACAACCATACATTTTCGCTACCCAATTAGACTTGGCCCAGGAGTTAGTAACTACACATGTGTTGAGTTAAATGATGATGAAGACGTTGAGGCACTGTTCAACATCCACGATTCAAATCAACTTCAATCAGGTATAGAATTATATGTTACATTTGCTACAAACGAAACACAGCCACCACAACTTTCGCCTTCATCTTCACCTTACCAAACTTACGAAACCATAAATCCATCTTTTCCAACATATGATATGAATTCCGACCTTCAGTCCTACACACAACTTTTAACTGGTTAATTCATGGACCTTAATGAAATACCCTCACAACCATTTGAGCAAACCCAACCCTCTCAGCCTCTTGAAGAAACTCCCATTGAAGAACATGCTGTTGTGGGTCTCCCAAACGAAGTATTTGATCCTTTTAGCGAGGACGAAGATGAAATCCTATCTCAACAGCAGGATGATGAAGAAGACTCCCTCCCACTTCCAAATATTCCACCATCACAACCATTACCATTATACAACCTACCTCCACATTTTTTAGACTTTTCCAGTCAAATACAAGAACATGACTCTGAGTTTGGCCATGTACTTGTATGTGAAATGGTAGTGTATCCACCTGGAACACTATTTGTTGGCCAGCGCTTCCTAACAAAAGTACAAGTGCAAGATGCCATAAATAGATTTCACATTGTCAATCATTGCACTTACAAGGTGAAGATGTCAAGCACAACTAGGCTTGTCGTGGAATGCGTTCACAACGACTGTTCTTGGAGATGTCGTGCAATATTGCGCACCAAAGAGCAACACTGGGAAATAATGAAGCTTGACGGGTGCCACACATGTGCTTCCCCACTCATTTCACAGGATCATAACAACTTGGGATCACGAATGATTTCTCATAGGATTCGTGAAATAATACAGAGTGATCCATCCACACCCATCACAACAATCTTAGCCCACATAAAGTCCACAATGGGTTACACAATTAGCTATATGAAGGGATGGTTAGGGAAACAACATGCCATTGAAAATATCTTCGGAAATTGGGAGGAGTCATACCATAAGTTACCTAGACAGTTGCTTGCAATGCAACTGTATATTCCAGGCTTCATCTGGAAATTGAGTACACAACCAGCATACAAGGGTGGCTTGCTTGATGAGGGGAATGTGTTCTGCAAGAGGTTATTTTGGACCTTTAAGCCATGCATTGATGGTTTTGCCTTCTGTAAACCAATTGTTCAAGTGGACGGAACATTTTTGTATGACAAATACAAAGGGACTTTATTAGTGGCAGTTGCGCAAGACGGCCGCAACAACATAATCCTCATTGCCTTTGCTGTGGTAGAAGGTGAAACTAGCGATGCATGGTTCTTTTTTTTGAAAAACTTAAGGAGGTACGTAACTCCGCAAGAGGGGTTGTGCCTCATTTCGGATCGTCACGAGGCCATAAGAAGTGCATACTCCAAAAATGGAAGTGGTTGGACAGAAAACAATTCTGTCCATGTCTATTGCATTAGACATATTGCACAAAACTTCATGCGACGATTCAAAAACGCTGCACTGAAGAAAGATATCGTCAATATGGGTAATTTTAATTTTTTACGTACTTTATATTCTTATTAATATTTTATACAATTGCTTAGCTAGTTATATTAATTTTTTTTGTAATCTTGTTTCCAGCATATGGGATGACTGAACCGAGATTCTTTTACTATTACAACATAGTAAAAGATAATAATCCTGAAGCTGCACAATGGTTGGACAACATCCCAAGGGAAAAATGGACACTGGCATGGGACAATGGACGACGTTGGGGACACATGACAACAAACCTAGCGGAGTCAATCAATTCGGTCTTGAAGAAAACCAGAAACTTGCCAATTTGCTCCATGGTCCTGGCAACATACACCCGTTGCAATAAGTTCTTCATTGACAGAGACAGAGAAGTAAATGCAATGATTAATGCTGGACATATGTACTCGGAGGTTGCAACTAAAGCAATTCAAGATGCACAGTCAAACGCAAACACTCATAGAGTCATCACCTTTGACAGAACAAGCACTAGATTTTTAGTCGAAGAAATGCAACATCCGACAGAAATTCGACCCGTAGGAAGATTTACAGTACGGTTAGATGAAATGTGGTGTGATTGTGGCAAGTTTCAAAAAGTTCACATCCCATGCTCGCATGTACTTGCTTCATGCTTATACGCACACCACAACTTTGACATATACATATCTCCCGTGTATACCTTACAACAAGTTTCTAAGGTATACGAAGGTCAGTTTGGAGAACTCAAACATGAAGACTATTGGCCAACTTACACGGGCCCAACTTTGTGTCCAAATCCAGAACTGAAAAGAACTTCAAAGGGTCGACCCAAGTCTAGTAAGATAAGGACAGAGATGAACATTAGAGAACAACAAAGTCGGCAAAAAAATTGTTCTTATTGTCATACCCCTGGTCACACAAGGAAGACATGTCCAAACATTACTCAAGCTTCTACTTCCCGTCATTGATTTATGTTGTTGTTATTACTTTAAAATTTTCTTCATGTAATTTTTAATTTTATGAATGTCATTGCCACTTATAAATTTTAGTATTAGTAATTTATATTAAATATATTATTATTTAATATATATATATCTACATAATATTATTTAATAATGTTTATTAATATTAATAAAATATTTTTTAAATAAATAATTATGTATAAATTTTAATAAAGATTAATATCTCAAATTAAATAAATAATCTTATTATTATTTAATACTTTTATTTATTTTATAAAAATATAAAATTAAATAAATTATTATTGTAATTTTTATCAAATACAAATTTAAAATTATTCAATTATTATTATAATTTTTATTTTTTCAATATTATTTTTGTAAAAATCTCACCAAATTCCATACATAATTTGCATTTTTGTTTTTATATATAATAAAAAAATATTATCTAATATTTATGTTTATATAATAATTATATATTGTCAAATTTAATAATAAAAATAGTTTTAAATAATAAAATAAAATTTATTATTTTAATTATATTTTTTTTTTATATTGTGTGAAAATAAATATTTATATTATGTTAATTTGTGTGACAAATACATTCCCTCAATTTTCTATGCTGCGTGTTCACTTCTGAGAGCGGTTCAAAACGAACCGCTCTTCAAATTCGACTACTGAGAGCGGTTGGTTTTGAACCGCTCTCCAAATTCTCGAGGTCAATGCTGTACGACTTTGGAGAGCGGTTTGTTTTTAACCGCTCTCCTAAGTCGACTTTGGAGAGCGGTTATTTTTAACCGCTCTCATATGCCTACTTTGGAGAGCGGTTCGTTTTTAACTACTCTCATATGTCTACTTTGGAGAGCGGTTCATTTTTAACCGCTCTCATATGTCGAATTTGGAGAGCGATTCGTTTTTAACCGCTCTCAGAAGTCTACTTTGAAGAGCGGTTCATTTTCAACCGCTCTCAGAAGTCGATTTTCTCCCAGCACATTTGAAGCAATTTACAAAATCAGGGGACGCATTTGCCACACAGATTAACATAATATAAATATATAAACATAAATATTAGATAATATTTTTTTATTATATACAAGAACATAAATGCAAATTATGTATAGAATTCAGTTGCCCCAAAACCGAATTCCATTTGGAAATCAACTGTACGGACACAAATTTGAAGGCCAGAATTCGGTTTTTGGGAAGTCGAATTCTGTACGTAACAGTAAATCGGTCTACTTTCGTAAATATTTTTGGGACAGGTCTATTTCAGTATTTTTATTTTTTTTTATATTATTTTGGTTAAAAATTCGTGAGAAGGATGGTGCAAAGTTAAGTGGTGACTCAAGTTTGGGCCTTAGTGGGAGTAATAAACAAAGTGGACTGTGGATGGATGGTGTAAGTAGAAAAAATAAACTTATTGATTTAAGTCAAGGAAAACAAAAAGATGTTGGCTCAGATAAGAATTTGGAGAACATAGTCAGAGAGCTTGGTACGAACCCTCTGTGTCTCAGCGTCATTCTTGTAGCGAAGGAAGAACGGTGGGGATCGCGAGTTCTGAAACTCCAATAACGATGTCCAGAGCGCTAGTAAGCTGGGGTGAGTCCATGGAGGAAGTCGACGATACAAATGAAGACAAGGGCATTGA